GGGCGCCGGGCCAGGTGGGACGTCGTCGTCTCCAGGTCGGCCAGCAGCGCGTCTGGTGGAGGGGGGGAACGGTGTCAGGGACCCAGGCGTCCGGGGGACACCTGGGCCCAACTCCGGGCAATGGGGACAGCAGGGGAGACAGGATGGGGGGAAGGAGACAGGATGGAGGGAAGGAGATGTGGAAGAAGGAGGAGGTGGGATGGGAGGAAGAAGATGGGATGGAGGGAAGGAGCCGGGATGGGGGAAGGAGCCGGGACAGAGGAAGGAGATGGAGATGATGGAGGAGACGGGATGGAGGGAAGGAGATAGGGATGGGGGAAGGAGATGGGGACAATGGAGGAGACGGGATGGGAGGAAGAAGATGGGATGAAGGGAAGGAGATGGGACGCGAAGGAAATGGGATGGGGGAAGAAGAAGGGATGGGAGGAAGGAGACAGGGATGGGGGAAGGAGATGGAGATGATGGAGGAGACGGGATGGAGGGAAGGAGATGGGACGTGAAGGAGATGGGATGGGAGGAAGGAGATGGGATGGGAGGAAGGAGATGGGATGGGGGGAAGGAGATGGGACGTGAAGGAGATGGGATGGGAGGAAGGAGATGGGATGGAGGGAAGGAGATGGGACGTGAAGGAGATGGGATGGGAGGAAGGAGATGGGATGGAGGGAAGGAGATGGGACGTGAAGGAGATGGGATGGGAGGAAGGAGATGGGATGGAGGGAAGGAGATGGGACGTGAAGGAGATGGGATGGGAGGAAGGAGATGGGATGGAGGGAAGGAGATGGGACGTGAAGGAGATGGGATGGGAGGAAGGAGATGGGATGGAGGGAAGGAGATGGGACGTGAAGGAGATGGGATGGGAGGAAGGAGATGGGATGGAGGGAAGGAGATGGGACGTGAAGGAGATGGGATGGGAGGAAGGAGATGGGATGGAGGGAAGGAGATGGGACGTGAAGGAGATGGGATGGGAGGAAGGAGATGGGATGGAGGGAAGGAGATGGGACGTGAAGGAGATGGGATGGGAGGAAGGAGATGGGATGGAGGGAAGGAGATGGGACGTGAAGGAGATGGGATGGGAGGAAGGAGATGGGATGGAGGGAAGGAGATGGGACGTGAAGGAGATGGGATGGGAGGAAGGAGATGGGATGGAGGGAAGGAGATGGGACGTGAAGGAGATGGGATGGGAGGAAGGAGATGGGATGGAGGGAAGGAGATGGGACGTGAAGGAGATGGGATGGGAGGAAGGAGATGGGATGGAGGGAAGGAGATGGGACGTGAAGGAGATGGGATGGGAGGAAGGAGATGGGATGGAGGGAAGGAGATGGGACGTGAAGGAGATGGGATGGGAGGAAGGAGATGGGATGGAGGGAAGGAGATGGGACGTGAAGGAGATGGGATGGGAGGAAGGAGATGGGATGGAGGGAAGGAGATGGGACGTGAAGGAGATGGGATGGGAGGAAGGAGATGGGAT